CAATGAGAAAAATAAGGAATAAGATAAAGGAATAAGGAATAAAGGAATGTCGCATCTCACTTTAGTACACGTACATTAAAGTGAGATGCAACATGCCTTATTTCTTATTTCTTTATCTTATTCCTTATTTTTCTCATTGTGACTGAGCCCTTAGGTGGGGGGCATCAACCAATGAGAAATCGCGATTAATCGCGATCGCGTCATTCGCGACGCCCACGCCGGCCGCCGGAGTCGCTTCTCTCTTTATGTAAAACTCTCGTACGAAGGGTTTCTGGTCTAGATTTTTTAGGTTTGTGGCGGCTGCCGGCTGCCATCTTGCACCTCGCTCGTTTGAGAAGCCGGCCGCCCTAAAAAATCTGGAGTTTCACGCGTTCGCGCGGCCTTAGCAACTCCGCGAGTGAGTTTCGTGCACTCGCGACGAATCCAGGAATCCATCGTGTTTAATCCGATCAAGATTCGGGCTCGGAATGCTTTAGGTGAGTCCGAATTGAGCCTACGTGAATTCCTTGGTCGCGATGGCGTGTAATTTACTGGGTACATGGTACATGTGTATACGTGCCTTGTACCCCTTGCATGCTTTTGCGTGCTTTTGCCCCGTTGGCCGGTAGAATGACTAGGATGTTCGTCTCCTAATTCTCGCGATTCCTCGAAAAGGGATTCTATTTTCACGCGTATGATTTTCTTGTGCCTTCGAAAAACTCATGTCCAAAATTCTAGCGCTACAATCGATAAATGAAATTATTATCGAGATAACGTGCTCTCTCTTGATCATATAGTCGGTAAAAACTCTGATTCATATTTCTGTCTGCGTATTTCCATCGTACCTATCTTTATTCCTTTATTTCTTTATTTCTTTATTAGTTTAAAATAGAGCTTAAATTTATGGCACAGCCTCTGCATCTGTGTTTGGAGATTTTGCATCTTTTTGAGATCCAGATCTTCAAAATGTATTGTGTGTTTGTAATACATTCTAAAAATAATAGTATAAATTTATATATTTTAAACTTATATTTTATACATATATATATATATATATATATATATATATATATATATATATATATA